AAAAAAAAACCTAAACCATTTTAAATGTCATATTCTGTAGGTCTTTGAAATATTTGAAGAATGCCTATTCATCTCAAATACATCTCTGCCATGCCAGACCCTGTGGCCTACCCTGTGCACTGTCCACTGCTCTGGTTGAGCACTGGGACAGAGGGTGGAGCCAACAATCCAGTCACCTTCAGGGAACTTCTTGGAGCTGCTCTGAGCACACTAAACCTGCCTATCCACGTGGGACCACCCGTAATTCCACCTGCCTGGTCTCTGGCCGCCACCGCTGGTCCTCTACTGGAGTCCCAGGCCCCTCCAAGAGATCTGCCTATTCAGGGCCACTCTGAATTCCTGCAGACTGGATCCTTGACCCTCATAGCAGGGCCTCTGCCAAAAAGGCCTCAGCTGGAGAGTGCCAGGCCCAGGCTATATCTGTCTATCAGCTTAAGGAACATCCTGAGTCCCAGCCTTCAAGATCTTTGACTCCCATTGCCAGTCTTCTGCGGGAGCCTGAACTTTGACACTCATGGCCAGGCCAGTGCCTGTGGAGAGACCTCCTAGAGAGCTTGAACCACCCAGAGCTACAGACATCAAACCTCTGACCCACCTAAGCACACCGGGTAGTACCATAGAGAGAGGGAGAGACCCCACCAACACCTACTGGAAGATGCTATGGGAAGACGGCAATACAAGAAAACACCTAACAACAGAAAGACAAGCATGACACCACCACAATCTAGGGGATCTACACCAACTAGACCGGAACACACCAAAGCAGATGAAGCAGAAGAGAACCACTTAAAAATTCTCATCAAAAAAATGATAGAGGCCCTCAAAGAAGATGTGAGAAAATCCCTTAAAGAAATGGAAGAAAAAACAAACAAAAAAATGGGAAGAAATGAACAAATTTCTTAAGGAAAGTAAAGAAAGTACAGAAAGCCAAGAAAAAACAAACAGATGAAGGAAACAGTTCAAGTCTTGAAAACTAAAATAGAGACAATAAAGAAAACACAAACCGAAGGAATGCTGGAAATAAAAAACCTGGGCAAAAGATCGGGAACTACAGACACAAGCATAACCAACAGAATTCAAGAGATGGAAGAGAGAATCTCAGGTAAGGAAGATAAACTAGAGGAAATAGATTTATTAACCAAAGAAAATCATAAATCCAACAAATCCTTAACACAAAACATGCAGGAAACAATTTGAGCATCCCTGGAAAGGCTACCATAAATGCCCTTCCCGGATAGTGAGATCAACAACTAACTTATACATAGAGCCCTCATCTAATACCTGTTGGAAACAGAAGCAAACACCCATACCTAAACACTGAGTCGAACTAGAACCCAGATGCAGATGGAGAGGATAAGACCAGGTTGCAGAAACACATAGAGACAGCTGACCTGAACAAGGAGGAGCTAACGGGCATCCAGACTGATAGTTGGGAAGCCAGCATGGGACGGACTCAGGCCCCCCTGAATATGGGTCTCAGCCAGAAGGACTGAACAGTCTAAGGGACCTCAGACAATGGAACCAGGATGTATCCCTGGTGCACAAAGGGACCTTGCGAACACATCCCCCATGAGGGATAACTGCCTTAACCTAGAGACAGGAGAGAAGCCCTAGTCCCTACTTCAAATGACTTGACAGATCTACATGAACCCACCTGGATGGCATTCCCCTACATGTGGAATTGGGGTGGGGGATGGGAGGGGAAGGTGGTCAGGGTGCATGTGAGGGGGCAGAGGGTTAAAGGGAGGGAGGAAGGGAGGGAGGGAAAGGGAACTGGAATCGACATGTAAAATAATAAATTTTAAAAAAGTTAATGAAATGCAAAAAAAAAAATCCAGGAAATGTGGGACACCGTGAAAAGACCAAACGTAAGAATAATATGCATAGAGGAAGGTGAGGAAGCCCAGCGCAAAGGTGCTGAAAATATATTCAACACAATCATTGAGGAAAACTTTCCCAATCTGAAGAAGGACATGCCCATGAAAGTACAAGAAGCATACTGAACACCAAATAGACTGGATCAAAGAAAAAAGACCCCTTCACACATAATAATCAAAACACCTAACATACAGAATAAAGAAGGAATATTAAGAGCAGTGAAGGAAAAAGGACAGGTAACATATAAAGGTAGACCTATCAAAATTACACCTGACTTCTCCATGGAAACTCTTAAGGCTTAAGGCCAGAAGGTCCTGGATAGATGTTCTACAACTACTAAAGTCCACAGATACCAGCACAGGCTACTATACCCACCAAAACTCTCAATCACTATAGATGGAAAAACAAGATATTTAATGACACGGCCAGATTTTCACAATAACTATCTACAAATCCAGCCCTACAGAAAGAACCAGGATAGCCAAAACAACCCTGTACAATAAAAGAACTTCAGGAGGCATCACCATTGTTGGGAACCAGCAGCCTGCTGACCCTGCCCCCGATGATGGGTGGGATGCTCATGGCCATGTCATCACTATGTCAGGCCTTACCTGGCTGCTCAAGCTTTACCTGGCTGACAGAGGACTCAGTAACACATGCACAATCCCCCTTTTAAAGCAAGCGCGCCCCCCCTCTCTTGCTCTATGGCCCCCTCTCTCTTGCTTTTTCTCTCTACACACTCTCTCTCTCCCCTGCTTTCACTTGGCCACCAGCTACACCCCTTTCTCTCCCTTCCCTCAATAAACTCCACGTGGGCGCTGAGTCTCATGTTTGTGTTTCTTAGGCAAAACGATAGCAAAAGAACAACAACCATCCCTGACTTTAAGCTCTACTACAGAGCTATAGTTCTGAAAACAGCCTGGTATTGGCACAAAAATAGACAGGTAGACCAATGGAATTGAATCGAAAATCCTGATATTAACCCACACACCTATGAACACCTGATTTTCGACAAAGCAGCTAAAAGAATACAATGGGATGAGGACAGCATCTTCAACAAATGGTGCTGGCACAATTGGATGAGGGTGTGTAGAAGACTGCAGATAGACCCACGTCTGTCGCCATGCACAAAACTCAAGTCCAAATGGATCAAAGACCTCAACATCATTCCAGCCACACTAAACCTCTTAGAAGAGAAAGTGGGAGGTACCCTTGAACAAATTGGTATAGGAGACTGGTTCCTGAGCATAACTCCAGTATCACAGACACTGAGATCAACAATTAATAAATGGGACCTCCTCAAACTTAGAAGCTTCTGTAAGGCAAAGGACACAGTTGACAAAACCAGATGGCAGCCCACAGACTGGGAAAAGATTTTCACCAATCCTATATCTGACAAAGGGCTGATCTCCAAAATATACAAAGAACTCAAGAAACTAGTCAACAAAACACCAAATAACCCTATTAAAAATGGGGTACAGAACTGAAGAAAGAATTATCAATAGAGGAAACCAAAAAGACTGAACGACACTTAAGAAAGTGCTCAACATCCTTAGCTATCAGGGAAATGCCAATCAAAACAACTTTGAGATACCATCATACTCCTGCCAGAATGGCTAAATTTAGAAACACCAATGACAACTTATGCTGGAGAGGATGTGGAGAAAGGGGAACACTCCTCCACTGATGGTGGGAGTGCAAACTCATACAGCCATTTTGGAGAAAAGTAAGGCGGTTCCTCGGTAAAATGGGAATTAGTTTACCACAGGACCTGGCAATCCCCCTCTTAGGCATATACCCAAATGATCCACACCCATGCAACAAAGACATCCGTTCAACTATATTCATAGCAGCACTATTTGTAATAGCAAGAACCTGGAAGCAACCTAGATGCCCTCAACTGAAGAATGGATAAAGAAGATGTGGCACATCTACACATTGGAATACTACTCAGCAGAAAAAAAATAATGGAATCTTGAAATTCGCAGGCAAGTGGATGGCACTTGAAGAAACCATCCTGAATGAGGTAACCCAGTCACAAAAAGAGGAACATGGTATGTACTCGCTTATATATGGATTTTAGACCTAGAGCAAAGGATCACCAGCCTATAATTCACACTAGGATACAAGGTGTATTCTAATAGATTCACATAAAGTCCCTCACAGAAGGGGGAAGGAACAAGTCCCCCAGAGCACATGGGAGGTGGGGGGAGGTAGTGAATGGAGAGAGAAGTAGGAGAAAGAGAAGTGGAGGAGAGGAAAGCACGTGCGACTAGGAAGATTGAGTCAGGATAGGAATAGAAGAGAGAGATAGAAAGAGAGAGAGAACATAAAAGAGGGAGCCATTTGAACCTAAAGAAAGGTCTAGAGACCTACAAGACTGACTCCAACTAACATTTTGAGCAACAGTGGAAAGTCTACCATAAATGCCCTTCCCTGATAATGAGATCAACAACTAACTTATCCACCATCATGGAGCCCTCATCTAATACCTGTTGGAAACCGAAGCAAACACCCATAACTAAATACTTTGAGTTGAACTAGAATCCAGATGCAGAGAGAGAGGACAAGACCAGGTCGCAGAAACACATAGAAAGCTGACCTAAACAAGGAGGAGCTAACGGGCCACCAGACGGATAGCTGGGAAGCCAGCATGGGACAGACTCAGGCCCCCCTGAATATGGGTCTCAGCCAGAAGTCCTGAACAGTCTAAGGGACCTCAGACAGTGGAGCCAGGATGTATCCCTGGTGCACAAAAGGACCTTGCGGCCACATCCCCCATGAGGGATAACTGCCTTAATCTAGAGACAGGAGAGAAGCCCTAGTCCCTACTTCACATGATCTGTCAGATCTACATGATCCCAACTGCAAATCTTTCCTGGGCTGAGCTAGGTCTCCTAGGACACAAAATGGTCCTGGAAAGGCTATGTTGTTTGTCTCAATTCAGTGTGGCTCCTATTGTGGGATCCTCTTTTGTCACCCAGCCTGTCACTCTCTATACGGAGCTACCAATCAGGACCTCCAGAAGGACCGTCCAATCAGGAGCGACGGGAGGCGGGCTCCTTCCAGCAGTCTAGATGTGCTTTGGGGTGAGCAGGGGAGGGAGGTGCAGAGGGTTCAAAGCTCTTCACTGTGAGCTCCTTCCTCCGAGCTGTGAGGCGAGCTTGGCAGCTGTGCCATGGTGAGCGCAAGGCCAGGGTCCCCCAGATGGCAGCGAGAAGCGACTGGCTGAGCCGCAGGAGCCGGTGTGCTGGGCCCTCCCAGGGCTGGGGGAGTGGAAGGACCAACGTCCTGGAAAGTTGGGCTTCACGGCGTTAAAAAGGCAAAGTCGCAAGCCCCGGGCAGGTGACGGGAGGGCCGGTGACGGGAGGGCCGCGCTCTGGGGAACCGAGAACACCAGTCTGAGCGGAATCGCTGACCCCATGAGGCGCCTGCCTGAGTCTGTCTGCGGATACCCGTCCTTGGGCCTTGCGCGTTTCTCTGAGTGTGGACTGTGACAGCTTGCATCTAATGTACCCGCAACGCTGCATGTGTGCTTCAGAGTGAGCCTGTGATTGTTCTGGGAGAGGGACCGCCCCAGGGTTGGATAGGACGGAGAAACGTGGAGCAGGAAAAAAAATATATTTTTTAATTTAAACATTGCTACCAGGGATTTCTAAGAACAAGCAGATGCTTGCATGCTAATGTTAACACTGTTCTATCAGGTGGGAGGGCTCTGAGACAGGAAGTAGAAATGCACTGTAGGAAGAGAATTGGGGCAGAGCAGCAGCACATTCTAAGCCCTGGGCCCAGTAATGAAAGGAGTGCTACTACAGGGCTGCTTCCTTCCACATTCCTCAGTGTTTGCATACAACTTCTGTGTCATGGAAGAGATGTGTGGATCCCACAGTGTGGAGTGAACCTATTGTCAATCAAGAATGTGCAATGTTTAGGCCTCAGTGAGCTTTGAGGATGTGGCTGTGCACTTCACCCAGGAAGAGTGGGCTTTGCTGGATCCTTCCTAGAAGAGTCTGTACAGAGATGTGATGCTGGAAACCTGCAGGAACCTCGCTTCGATAGGTGAGGACATCATCTTACCATCACTCTGTAAATTAGGGAGCAAGTGTCTCTTGGTATCAATGCTCTTCTGTGGTTTGGACTAGTAAAAGGCAGATTATGTTAAATATATCAGACAAGGTTTCAATGTTAGCCAGAGCAAGAAACTAATTTTTTAGTAATTTCTAACTTACCTTAAATCTTCTGGGGCTACCTTTTAGGATACAAATGGGAAGACCAGAACATTGAAGACCATTATAAAAGTCCTGGGAGAAATCTAAGGTAATGTGCATGCAGAAGGAATCTTTTTTAAAGGTATAAAAGTATATTGAGAGAGGGCAGGCTTCTCTTGCCCGGGCTTTCTTTCTAGCTGCTAGTATGCTACTGAATTTTTCTGGCTTTGCCTTGGTATGGTGTGGATGGTCTACCCATCCTCTTCATAATGAATTTGAGTATTTTCTTATCCCTGGAGACCTTAAACAGGTCCATGAATTACTGTTCATAGGACACAAAGCCCCATGTGTTCTGATCGGGACACATGAACTTGGTATGTTTGGAGCCAGCTGTGCTTCAGCTTGCTCATGTTGTTAATAACTTTGTGGCCCATGGCTCCTGAGTCCTAGTGGCTTGGGTTCAGGATGGGGTGAAGAAGGAATGAAGAAAGAACAGAGACACATAACAATGAAGCTGGGATCAGATGGGATTCTCTAACTGCTTCTGCCTCTGCTATTGCTGCAACCTGGAACTTCGACATCTTTCTTAAAGCACAGGGAGAGTTAGCTAGTATGGGCAGGAGATCTCTGTAGGTGGATGGTCTTAGGCTATAAATTCCTGGGAAATGGAAGCTGTACTTGCTAGTCTTTACACACATTGATCGGTTGTTCATAAACAGTCAGACTCAAGCTCCTAAAGAAAACTTTACCATCCTTTTTAAGTGTGGGCCATATGGCTTTGCCAGTTTACCATGAGCCAATTAGTCTTGGAGTCCTCAACAGACCATGCCAATGTCAAAATACACATTTACTCAACACTTCACTCACTCAGGGCTTCCTTCACTCCCTACACATGGCCATTTGTTTTGAAGAATTCTGTTGTTCTTCAGTGATGACCACGACAGGAAGTCGTTAAAGGAATTTTGATATGCTACAAAAATTTGCAAATAAGCAAACTAAACAAATAGGCACAGTGTGAATTTTTCCATTCAAATATTTTTACCAAAATTACAGTTAATAGGCACTAAAATGAGAGCATGCTGATTAATGTTAACAGAGTGTTTCACTTGGAAACATTATACGATCTTGAACTAATGAATATCACTCTTTTGATCAAAGCTCCGTCAGAGACAGCATGTAGAACATCAGTTCATTTAGTCTCTGGCCACTCAGATCAGGCAAAAGACATAAACCTCATCTGATCTTTGGAATTTTAAATGAGACATAATAAGCAGTCAGTAGTTAAAAAAAACTATTATTAAATTGCCTGTCTTCTGTTGTGGTTTGTGTTTTCTTTACAGAAGTTACATGTTACAGACCTTCTGTGAGGATGAAGGTGGTGACCCTCACAGAGAAAAGTTGACTTGGAAACCAAATCTCAGTATGAGCATGAAAAGTTCCACTGGCCTAACACCATGTGATCACAGTGTATGGGGGAAGACTTCCTGGTATCATTCATCCTCTAGTAGACATGCCACATCTCACTCTCAATATAATCCACATGAACATGAAGAATACATGACTAATCAATGTAACTCTGATTCTCTGATAAACTTCCAAAGGTACATGAGAACCCATGTTGTGAATGGGCCATGTGAATGTGAGATATGTTTAAAATATTTTGTTTTTCCAAATATACTGGGAATGCATCAGGAAACTAATAGTGGGAAAAGTCTATATCAATACAAGGAATGTGGAAAGACCTCTATTAATATTAGCTCACTATGCACACATGGAGGCACTAACACTGTAGGAAAATGTTATGAATGTAATCAGTGTGGTAAAGCTCTGAGTTCTTACAGTTCACTTAGAAGACATGAAAGAATTCATGCTGAGAAAAAACCCTATAAATGCAAACAATGTGGGAAAGCCTTTAGATACCACAGTTACCTTCACTTACATGAAAGAATTCATACTGGTGAAAAACCCTATGAATGTAAACAGTGTGGGAAAGCATTTATATTTCCTGGTGCTTTGCAAGTACATGAAAAAATTCATACTGAAGAAAAATGTCATGAATGTAAACGATGTGGTAAAGCCTTTAGACGTCATAGTGACCTTCAAGTACATGAAAAAATTCACACTGGAGAAAAACCCTATGTATGCAAACAGTGTGGTAGAGCTTTTAGACTTAATAGCCATCAGCAGAGACATGAACAAACTCATACTGAAGACAGAACCTTTATATGCAAACAGTGTGGCCGATCTTTTGAATGTTACAATAATCTTGAGTTACATGAAAAAATTCATACTGGAGACAGACCCTTTGTATGTAAAGAATGTAGTAAAGCCTTTATTTGTCATGGTCAGAGGCATGAAACAACCCATACTAGAGAAAAACCTTATGGATGTAAACAAAGTGGGAAAGCCTTCAGACATGAAAGGACTCACAAACAAATGTCTACATGCCCCAGAAAATAATAATTCTACCAAAGTCCAGCTAGGTTGTATTAGGATTACTTCTAGAAACATGGATAACTCATGGACAACTGCATCTTCAAAATGCTCCTCCAGCCTGAATCACAGGAGCTACCACTCTGGAGAGCTCTGCAGTTTTGCAGGCAGCTCAACTTACCAGAAAGTCTCTTCTCTCTGCAGCTGTTTACTGCTGCTTTTATAACCTTGTATATCTTTGAAGGCTTAGTTTTCTGTAATTTGATAGTTGTTTACTTACCAAGTCTCCAGCCTCCTTTTTTTTTTTTTTTTTTTTTTTTTTTTTTTTTAGACATTTCTTTATTTCTCCCTATTTCTGCCTTGGAACTCCCTCTGTAGACCAGGCTGGCCTCAAACTCACAGAGATCCACCTGCCTCCCAGGTGATGGGATCAAAGGTATGCACCTCCAGCCTCCCTCTTTTAGGCTGTGTTTCAATGCAAAGGAAATTGTTAGTAGTCTTTGTAGCTTTTACATTTTTTAAAATGATTTTGAGCCTTGGTGGGGCCATCTGTAACTGAGCATTGCAATCCTATATCACAGCAGCCCCCACTTAGCAGCTTCACCAGTGGCTATGGACTCTTCAACACTAAGGTCTTACCATCTAGTTCTGGCATAGAACTAGGAGCAGTGACAGTAACCCTTAAGGTTTGTGGTATCTCAGGTGCCTCCTTGGCCAACAAATTCCAGCAGGTATCCCATACCTGGCACTGGGATCTTTATTTAGTAGCCACTAGGAGTGTCCTCCCCACTCAGAATGCTTTTGTTACTTAAACACTTTAGCTGCTATTTTAATAACTGCCGTGGGTTTATAAGTCAGGTGAAGTACCACTGCTGCTGGCTGCTGTTATATGGGCTCTGTACATTGGCATTAATGACTACTTTTGCCACTCTATATGAACACCAATATATGATCATACAAGTGTCCAATAGTCCTAATGAAAATATAGTATGAAGTACACTGGCCAAATTTTTACTCACTGTGAAAATTTCCTTTATTGTCCTTCAGGGTTGTCCCAGAAAGGGGACGGAATCTGCACCAGTCCATTTCTGGGTGACTCTTTAGCCAACAGAGCCACCTTCAAATAGCTCATAGTCTTTTTATCCATAAGCTGCATTGGAAAATCAAAGAAACTGGAGTCTGAATGAACAGTCATTTCAGAAGACTGACTGCCTGGCTGGAGATGAGGAGCCTTGTTTGCCAATTGTTAGCAGCTGCTTTCTCAAGTGGCTGGTCTCAAAATCAAGAGAAACTTAATTCAACTCCTGTTTCTGCCCCCATTTTCTTCTGTGACAACAGGCAGCACAGCTTCTAGTGTATAGTTTCATGTTCTGGAGTCCTTGAAAGAACAGCTTCTGGACTATCAGTATGTTACTGAGATAGGAAGGAGCTTCATGGACAGAAGGCTCCCCAGTCTGAGACTGGGACACTCCCTAGATTTAGTCAGGTGTTATGTGGGGACACTCCACTCCCTGTCTCCTTCCACTTAACAACTAGTGATGTGGCTAGGTGTGGTGACATATGCCTTATAGTATCAGCACTTGGAAGGCAGAGTTAGGCAGACAGATTTTTTTTTTTTCAGTTTGGGATTTCTAGAGGAAGCTTGTGAAAATCCCCTAAAGGGGACCCATTCTGTTCCTGGTCTTTTATAGTAACCATCCTATCAGGGATGAAAACACATTCCCTTCTACTGTTAGAAACAGTCATCCCCAAAAATTATTTTCCCAAGAATCTCATCATTAGGCTTTGTCAACAGAGGACTGTGTGCCTGAAAAAGACATTTTGCATACTTCTGTTTGTAACAGGCTCCCAGACATAGCACAACTGACTCCATGATGGAAGTGCTGCTCAGGCCGTAAAACTCAGCACATAGACATAAACCACCTGCAAAAACAAAAGCAAAGGCCTAATCCATCAAAGTCCATAGCTTTAGGGAAGTCTCTAAATAATTAATCTTGCTTTTTTGACTTCTGTATTTCCCCTTCTGGCTAACTGTATTAGTAATTAGTATATGGAATGTTACTTTCATGTCCTGAAAGAGATGTGTGGATCCCACAGTGTGGAGTGAACCTACTGCCATCAAGTATGTGCATTGTTTAGGTCTCAATAAGCTTTGAGGATGTGACTGTGCACTTCACGCAGGAAGAGTGGGCTTTGCTGGATCCTCCCAGAAGAGTCTGTACAGAGATGTGATGCTGGAAACCTGCCGGGACTTCACTGTGAATAACTAAGGGTACTGTCTGTCACTGATGTGATAGGTAAGAATATCAGTCACTTATTCAACTAGAGGAAAGTGTTTATTTGGATCAATGCTCTTCTGTGATATAGATGGAAGAGGGCGGTGAATAAATTGAGCCAAGTTATAGTTCACATTGAACTTACTAACCTCCATATCAGAACTTTTTAATCACTTGTTATATATTATGTGGGACGACATCTTAGGAAACAAATGGGAAGTGGAGAATATTGACGACTCTCACAAAAATCCCTGAAAAAGTCTAAGGTGATTTTCATGCAAAAGTAAAAGCAGAAGTCCTTTGAAGGAATTTTACGGTACCATGAAAATTTTAAGAAAAAACAAACAAAACAAGCACAACTTAAATTTTTCATTCTTAGATAATGTCACCACAACCACAATAATAAGCATAAGGTACTGTTTAGTGCTTGCAGAACTTTCGCTTCGAAATAAGGATATCATTAAAGTTAGCAAGTGTTACTTTTTGCTTCTAGCTCTGTGGGAGCCACATTTAGAACCACCACCCAGTGGTTCTAATTTGAAAATCTAAATAAAGTTCAAATCATTCAAATGTGGGAGAAGACGTGCTCTGCTGGATTTGGGGAGCAGTGTGTGACCCATTCTGGTAAAGTAGTGAAGCAGCTGTTACTTGGTTACAGTATTTTGGTTTTCCCAGGTTGTTAGGGATATGTAAAAATCTCACAGTGAGAAAAATCCCTGCCAATATATGGAAAGTCCAAGGACAGGGGCTTATCCTAGTTCACTTTGTGCAGATAGAGGAACTCAAGTTGTAGGAAACCATTTCAATGTAATCAGTCAATGTGCAGAATCACTTAAAATGTTCAGTGGCTAGAACATCTAATAAAAGCTGATTCATTGCCATCAGTTCAGACTGCTGAACTGGATATCCAGCGGTGGGAACAATCATTTTTGTGGAGCATGCAGAATTTGTTTATAAACATGTGCTCCTTGACCTTTTGAGGAGCTAAAAACATTAAAAGTATTAATTAGATGTAATTTTAGCTAATACCTATTAGGTTTCTTCAGCAAATCATAAAAAGGAATCTTTAGGATAATGAGTAACACACATTAGTTGTCAAGTTTTTATCAGCATGGAACAAATCAACCTGCATTGTATTTAGTGGTGCAATTATTTCTATAGGCTTGTTACCTGTAAGTTGTTAAGTCCTGTCCTTCCCATCATTATCAAGTCTAAATTTTCTTGTAAATAAGGAGTTACAGCTTGTTACAGAGATTATGACATGCATAAATTTCTATATCATCACCTTGTTGACTTAAAATTCCAGTACATGGTGAGTAGGAAATGAAGTGAAGCAGTCATCTCACTGCACAAGACATCCCAGCATGCACAGCAAGGACAGGAACCACCTTCTTGTGCTAAACAATGGATTTCTCTTTGGCTCTTCGGTTAGTTACTGTTCTATTGCTGTGATAAAACATCATGGTCCAGGTATTTAGAGAAAGAAGAGATAATTTGGGCTATGGTTCCAGAATGTTAAGAATCATTGTGGGTGATGATGGGGAGCCATGGCACCGTCTGGAAGGCATGGTGACAGGAGCTGGGAGCTTGCATCTCCATGGCAAGCAGGAAGCACAGAGAGCTAACTCTCAGCGGCATGAGGCTTTAACCTCTTAGTGTGTTACCAGTGATGAACTTCCTCCAGCAAGGTCACATCTCCCAAACTTTCCCAAACAGGACTACTAACTGGGGAACCACCTAATGTGATCAAGACAGAACACTAAATATGGCAATTGTCTCAAAAGAAGATGTGATGCACGGAGCTAAATATACTTTTGAAAGAACTATTTCCATTCAGCCGGCTTCTTCCTTTCTTCTGTTTTTATTTCACCTGGATCTCAATCATATAGGAATCTTGGACCCAAGCTTACAGGATCACACTGCTGATATTCATGGTGAATGTTGCCCCTTACAGTATCCACATATACACTCAGTGGTGTCAATGAGTGATTCCAAATTTCAGTCACACTGACAGTTGTTGCAGGATATTTAATCAGATTATGAACACTGAGATTCCATTATTTCTAGTCATGGCATGGCTCAATCCTAGCACAATCTTTTTTGTTATTGTTATTGTTAAGATGTATTTATTTATGTTCCTTCTCTCATACATTACATCCTAACTGACCTCCATTTCCTGTTCTTCCACTCCTCTCAGTCCTCCCTCACCTTCCCCGCCCCCCCCCCTGTCCATTCCTCCTCTGTTTCCCTTCGGAAAAGAGTAGTCCTCACAAGAATATCAAGCGAACACAGCATGACAACATGCAGTATAACAAACACTTATATCAAGGCTGGATGAGTCAACCCAGTAGGCAAAAAGGGGGGGGTCCCAAAAGCAGGGAAAGAAGTCAAAGACATTCCCCACTCCCACTGTTAGCAGTCCTAAAAGAACACCAAGCTACATGACCATAACATATATAGAAAGGACCTAGCACAGGCCCATGCAGTCTTCATGATTGCTGCTTCAGTCTCTGCATGGCACACAACTTTAATCCAAGAGATTTCAGTTTGGATATTATAAACAGGATTAAATAAGGTCAGCCATAGGTCAAGAGGCAAAGCCTACAACCAGTTAACAGGAAGTCAACATAGGAGTCAGGAGGATGGATAGAGACACGTGGGAACTGGAAGGGAGAAACACTAATTTGGAGACTTGTTTTAAAAGGTAGGAGACAGGAGAGGCTTCTGGGACCTCTGCTGTGGAGGCTCTGC